TCTGGTTTTAACCTCACGACAACCCAGAGTAGTATCGCCATTCTACAGATGAAGAAACTGAGGCCCAGATTATTGACAACTTGTTCAGTCACCCAGTGGCGAATTTCTACGCTGGGATTCGAGCTCCTTGTACAGTGTCACAAAGGGAAGGGAAGAAGCATTTATTAAGCGCCTACTATATGCTAAGCACTGTGTTAAGCTCTTTACAAATTTCTTCTTCGACTACATAGCCTTTCCAGGCCGAGGGGGAGGCAAGAGGGAGGCTTCCTGCAACTCAGAAAGGATGGAGTCGTGGGCAGGGTGGGAGAATCTCTAGCGGGGAAAGGGTGGGGTGAGACCCCAGTTGCCCTGGAATGTTTAAGGCGGGGTGCGCTCCCCGACATGAACCGCAGAGCACACCTCGCACACCTCTCTCCCTCTACCAACTAAACTGAAGAGAGACGAACCGGAACGCGACGATACAAAAACAAGCAGCGCCGGAAGCTGGGAGGGCGGGGGGGAGATAGGAGAAGCACAGCTGCGAAGAGAGAGGCACAGGATCTTTCCCACGCGCCACTCTCCTCAAGACGAGGCTGCCCGGAAGAACACGCCATATCCTCCCCCCACACCCGTTTACCACCGAGTAGGAGCTGAGAGAGCGGAGTGAAACCCTAGCAGAAGCGGAAACGGAAGTCGATAGACAGTTTTCCGATCTCTTTCCGCCCCCTCCCTGGTTGGGGAAGAGGGGCATCGCGGCTTTCGGCGCCTTTTGCGCATGCTCCAAAGTGGGAGGGGGTGGCGTGGGAATGGCAGTCGCGTGCGCTGCAGCTGTAGCCCCCGCCCACCGCCACCACTTTCGCAGTTCTTGCGGCTGCTGTTCCTGCGCTGGCGCGCGTCCCCTGGTCTGGGGCCTGAGAGACCCTTCGTAGGAGGGAGACGGTTACACCCAAGAAGCGCTTTCACCTTTCGGGTGCGAGAGACTCTTACTCATCTCCCTTCGAGCGCCTCGTTTCATTCACTTCAGTCAGCATTTAAGTGCCTACTATGTGCCAGGCACCGTGCCAGTAGCTACATAGAGGATGAATAGGAAGTAATTAACAGAGGGAAAGCCCTAATTAAAAGGGGCTGGGGAAGGCTTTCTGTAGAGAAAAGGTGGGATTTTCATCAGGATTTGAGGGAAGCCAGGGAGGTCAGCAGTTGGAGGGGAGAGGGATGGCATTACAGAGATAGGGAACAGCCCGAGAAAATGCCCGGAGCTGAGAGATGGCGCGTCTTGTTCGTGGACCAGCCAGAAGGCCAGTGTCACAGGACTGAGGAGTGTTTTGGGGAGTGGGGGCTGGGTTATGAAGGGCTTTGAATGCCATATAGAGCATTCTGTATTTGTTCCTGAAGGCAATGTGGCAGTCAACTGGAGTTTGTTGAGTGGGAGGGTAACATGACCAGACCTAGTTAGAGGCAAATCACTTTAGTGGCTCAGTGAATTTTATCCCGGCGTGGAAGCTGAATTAAGAGGGTGCTGACATTAGCGCACCACCTCTAAGGGACAAGGAAGCCCCTATATTTTCTGCTGTCACAGTCTACTTGGAGCGAAGAGTTGGGGGGTTGTAAAGATAAAGGGCCTACCCACGAAGTGGCAAGAATAGCTTGGCTGACTCTGGGCAAGTCACTTAACCCCAATTGCCTCACAAAAAAAAAATGGTCATCCTCATTACCTTGGTTTCTCCACTACAATGTGCCTTGTAGGAGAGGGAGTTTCTCCACCTCGTGGAATCCTGCGAAGAATGACTGCACCTGGGCAACCTTCTACAGTGTAATTAAAACAAACGTTAATTAGGGTCAAAAGAAAGAGTAGAATAAATGAGGAGGCAATAGGATTAAGGGAAATAGTATTTCACAACATGTCTACCATGGAAGTGTTTTGCATAACTGCGCATGTATAACCTATATTGAGATGCTTGCCTTTTCAGTGAGGGTGGATGGAGAGGGAGGAAGGGAGAAAATTTGGAACCCAAAGTTTTAAAAACACATGTTTAAAAAAAATGTTTTCACATGCAATGGGAAATAAGAAATACAGTAAATGGGGTAGAGAAATCTATCCTGCACTTCAGAAAAATAGAAGGGGAAGGGGATAAGAGAAGTGGGGGAGAGATAGAAGAGAGGGCAGACTAGGGGAAGGGATATTCAGAATGCGTGCCATATTCAGAATGCGTGCCATCTTGGGGTAGGGGCGAGATGGGGTAAAAATTTGGAACTCAAAATCTTGTGGAAGTAAATGTTGAAAACTAAAAATAAGAAAAATATTTAAAAAACGTTAATTGAGCCCCTCCTGTGTAGAGTTCTGTACTAAGCTCAGTGGAACATGCCATAGTTAGAGAAGACAAAGACAGGAGATCTGATGGCATTGCCAGGGTGTGTAGATTACTTAGCCCAGGGCAGCTTCATGGAGAAGGTGGCATCTAAGTTAGACTTTATGGTATGGGAGTAACTTAACAAGCAAGAAGGAGGTAAACAGAATTACTAAAGTAATTCAGAAAGTACAAGATATACTGGTGGACAGAGCAGTTCTCAGTTTGACTAATAGAGAAATATGTGATAGGGTAGTATGAAATGAAGCTGGGAAACTAGGATGATACCAAGTTGTAGAGGGTGTTGAATACCAGGCAAATGATACTGAACTTTATTCAGAGTGCAGTTGGGAATCACTGAAAATCTTTATGTAGTGATATGACTAAATCTTTACATAAGGAAGATTAGTTTGGTAATGGTATGAAGGACCAAATGGGATCTATTAAGCTAGGACCTTAAAAATCCAGGCATATGTTATCAGGGTGATTGCAGTGGTTAACAGAGAAGATAGATGGAAGGGATATTGCAGTAGTAGGATTGACAAGACTTGGTAACTAGTTGAATATGAATTGAAATAGAGGGAAAAGTCAAAGATAAAATCAAAATTTCAAACATGGGATATTGGGTGAATAACATTGGTATTACAATGAAATCAGAAAGAAGTGGTCCCAGTGCCCCCTGTCTTCAATGTGTTCTTGCTCACCTGTATCTTACAGAATCCCTAGCTCTTTCTACAGAAGACCTTTCTTAATTTCTCTAGTTGTTAGGATTCTCCCTCTTGAAATGAACATGCATTATTTTGCATATTTTTTATGTTTATGTTGTATCCCAATAGAATGTAGGCTTCTTGAGAACAAGGACTGTATCCCTTGTGTCTTTGTATTTATTATGAACTTAACAAACTTTAACAAATACCAATAAGAAAAGAGGATTGCACATGAAACTGGGAATCTCTTATGTAGAGTGTTTGTTTTAAAAAGTATTTATTAAATTTAACATAATGGTACCAGAAGTGCCATGCTTATCTGTACCCAGTCTGAACTTTTGTTCTCTTCTTAAATTTCGTTAATATTCTTTTTTCCTTTTTTTAATGGAATTATCATTAACCCCCATTCCCATCCCCTAACTCTCTCATAAATAAACCCCTTTGGCTTGTAACAAAATAAATAAAATGGCCAAACAAAAAAAATTCACAGGTTGACCATGTCTTTGAAAGTATATTTCATTTTGCATTTCTCGTCCATCACCTCTCAGTCAAGAGGTGGGAAGCGTGTTTCCTTGTTAATTTTTCTGTAGTCCCTATTGGTCCTTGCATTGTCTTTCAAAGTCGTTTTCCTTTCCTAGTTGTAGTCATATAAATTATTCTTCTATTTCCATACACTTCACGCTGTATCAGTTCATACAAGTCTTCCTGAATCTGTCCCTTTCATCCTTTTTTAGGATACAATATTCCATTTGAGTCATTTGTTCAGCCACTCCCCAAGTGATGGGCACCCCTTTGTTTCCAGATTTTTTTTTTGCTCTAACAAAAAGGCCCTATTCTGAATATTTCTTATATATGACTCTTTGCCCTCTTTTTTTGGTCTCATTGGGTTAAATGTTTATATTTCAACTGCTTTTTGGTATTGTTTTTGTTTACGTTATTGAGCATTCTGTGTATTATTAGTTTTGCTTACTTGGCTCTACCTCACTTCATACAAGTGTTTCTTTGCATTCTTCATATTTTCCATTTTTTATCAAATATAGCAACGTTTCATTACATTCATGTACTGCATCTTCTTTAGCTATTCCCTAGCTGATGAGAATCCACATTATTTTCACTTTTTTTCTGCCACAAAAAGTACTACTACAAATATTTTGGTGCTACTCTCTATGTATCTTGTGTTCTATCTACACAGGACTAGTCACCATGCCCTTATGTCAATAAGCATTTATTAAATTCTTACTATGTATCAGAGACTGTGCTTAAGAGCTGGGGATAAAAAGGCAAAAACGGTATTTGCCTTCATGGAGCTCACAATCTAATGGACAAGCTTGTGGTCACATGTCCTGAGCTTTTCTACCTCTGTTCCTTTGTTCATTCCTATCTTATGCCTGTAATACCACCTGCTCCCTTTGGATTTCTATCCATTCTTTAAAGCCCAGTGCAGCCCACCTCTTTTGGGAAGGCTCCTCTGAATCAATTAGCTAGTAATGACCTTCATTTCATAAAACTTTTCATATCTTTCTCATGTACTTTTGGTATTGTTTTTACACATAGGTGAGCTCTCAATTCAATAAACATTAAGTGCCTACTATGTGACAGGCACTGTGCTAAGCACTGGGAATACAAAGAGGTAAAAGAGTGTCCCTGACCTCAAGGAGTTTATAATCTAATGGGCAAAACAACATGCAAACACATATATAGAAAGCAAGCTGCATACAGGATAAATGGGAAATAATTAACAGAGGGAAAGCACTGGAATTAAGAAGGGTTGGGGAAGGCTTGCTGTACAAGTTTCCTCATCTGTAAAATGAAGCTACTGGACTAGATCTTTGAGGTTCCTTTCAACCCTTTATCTTTGATTTCTATGAACTTTAGTGAAGCGAAATACATTTAAAAATTTACTTTAAAAAATTAAAAGTAACAACTGTTCATAACTTGGATGGATGGATAAAATAAACACCTCAATGGATTCATCTTTTTAAAAACACAGGTCACTTTTAATTTTGTCAACAAAAATGATAAGTTTTCTACCACAATTATTTTTACATTTTAATCACTGATTAATGGCAGTTTGAACCAATAAACAAATCAGTTCAAAATCAGACCTTTTATACATAGTTTGATGAAAATAAGAGCCTTTTGCAAACGCTTAAGTTTTTTACTTTCCACTAAACCCATTATAAACATGTTTTCATGACCCTTCAGAACTGTGGCCTAAAAAAATGATAAAAAAAAAAACAACACTGAAAATCATCATAAATAATTGTAGCCACCTGGGCTTAATATGAATAAAAAATAGCAAAATGCTTTCAAAGTCTGTCTGAGAGCATCTGTTCACATTATAAATCCACAAACACAACAAAATTCACCAGAAGTTACAGAGGGATTCTTCAGTGAAAGGCAGTTGTTTACATATGTCTTTGTAAATAGTTTGACCCTTCTGAAAACTAACTGCTTTATAACTCATTTCAACATCTTAATGTTTTACAGGAAGTGACAATGGTTTCCATCAGTCTCAGAAGATATTTGCACAGTTGATATTTTTTAAAGTTGATATTGCAGTTATTATTTAGTAGACCATTATTACCTTTATACCACTAAGATATTTACCTTCTAATATTAATAAACTATCTTTTGCATGCAATATTGTCCTTTACATGCACTTGTAAAAACAAACAGATTTTTAAATAACATAAGAAAATATTGCATATGACAACAAGGTTATAGGGAACATTGCAGTTTACCAAAGTGTCATTCTTTGGCAGAAGGAATAAATACTCTTTCCACTATATCCAGATTTGTATCCATACTCTTAGAACCACACATGTGCATGAGAACTTTATCCTTTCCATTCTACACAAAGTTCCTGTCAGTAATATGTCTGAAATAATTAAGGATGATGCAAATAAGTTTTATTCATTCCTATTATGGCCACTTTCATATATTAATAACTGACATCTATATAACATTTCAAAGTGTGTCAAACACTTGATATATATTATTATTTCCACCTCCTACCAAGCCTGTGAGGTAGGTGCTACAGGTATCATCCCCATTTTGCAGATGAGGAAACTGAAGCTCATAAAAATTAAATTATTTGCCCATAGTTGTATAGCTGATAAGTGTCAGAGTTGGTATTTGAACCTAGATTTTCCTGACTCCAAGTCCAATACATAGCCATTATACCACACTTTGAATTGCACAGTCCTCTCAAAAAATGTATCACTTTTTGAAATCAGTATTTGATAGGTGTACTATCTTTAAAACAATTTCAAAGCCCAAATGACTGATCTTTCATTTTCAAGTCCTTTTGGAATCTCCTTATTCATTTTCTTCAACACTACTCAAATGGATCTATGATCTCATCTAATGAGGCATACAATCCATCCATGCCTTACCATCCTGTGATACTATTATCCATGTCTACCCAGAAGTACGCCACAAAGAATTTCACTCAATATGCTGGGGATCTCCATGGCTTTCTCTTAACACTGTAAGGATACAAGTGGAACACATGGACTGCCCATTGATTATCCCTGGCTTTTGCCACATGACCAGACCATCATTATCCTCACTCTTTTCTTCACCATACAAATTTTTCCCAGTCTCACAAGTAATTCAGCTGGGTGTTCCAAAGTCTTTCTCATCCTACTAACCTGTAGATTCTTAATCACCAACTAAAGGTAATAATAAAATCCTTTTTCTTTTACAGAGGCTAAATATTAGCTGCACACACCTCTGTATCACCCTATTTTTGTGCTTTTCAGCATCTTTTTTGCTCCACCCTGGGAAAGAAGGACAAATATTCAATCTATTTACCTTTCTTCCAGTAGGTTTATGCTACTATGCTTATAGATTACTGAAGAGCTTCACAAAAATTTTAATAGAGCCCAAGTAATCATAAGTTTAGCACACTGTCCAAAAGGGTCTGGTCCTAGTTAGATACCTTAGACCTGCAGTAAAATCACTTGTTAATGAAATGCATTTCTTCAGTTGCAGAGTCAGGTCTAGAGACACATTTTTATCTTATCATCATCATTAGTAACACCAACAACAAACACAAAGATACAAAAGTTCCTGCCCTCAAGGAACCCACAATCTAATTGTATAGAAAGGTATATACATCAAAAGATATACAACAATATGAAAGAGAATAGGGTGAGTATTCTAACAATCAAAATGGGGCATACATTCAGCCTACTGATAAGAAAAGACAAGCCAGAATTTGGGCATTTTTATATAGCTTTAAAATATTAAACCTAAACACATTTCAGTAACGGGTTGAAATACAGCTTACTATGGCAATTAAGTCTGACCTTCACTACTGTCAGCCCAAGAGCTTCTTTCATCTTAACAACAATGAATCTTGTTACTCTTTACAGGTCCTCAAGATCAGATAGATCTACAACCACTTTCATAAAGAGGGTATCTTCTTTGATGTAGGTGTTCTTGGTGTTCTCCAGAGTGGAATGTGCCACAAAGCGAGGACAGCCCGATGCAATGTTCATCTCTCCATCAGGTCTTTTAAAGCTACTGCTATTGGGGTCAGCCTTGAAGATCTCTGTAATGTGGTTCTTTTTTCCACTCTGATCCAAAAGCATCATGGTAACTCTCTGCTTGAAAGGCCACTGCAACAATGAGTCGAATTCCCCTTTCATCACAACAAAATACAGGGATAAATGTGTCCCTTTCCCTGACCCATCTCCATTCAAGTAAGCTCTTGCACAGAGTCGGTAGCCACAGCGGCTGGTGTAGAAAGGCTGGCTGAATATGGACACTGTGCGCCCTTCTGTTGCTTCTCTTTTTTTCATCTTGTAATCCGTCACCTTCCATATCAATTTGCCATTATAACAAGTGCCTTCTAACATTTTAAATCGCTCTTCATTTTTATTCAGCTGGGCTTTGTGGACATTAATGTGGGCATCATGTCTGTTAGTTTGGCCTTCCAACGTGACTACAAACAGAAAAGAATGCCAAATGTCCCTTTAGATAAAGCTGCCATTACAATTCATCAAAATATAGTTATCTGATCCTGAAATCTAACACAATCAACACGAACTCTATGTATACAAAGACCACAAATGGATAATTTAAGTTCAAACTTGTTATAAAAAAATTAAAAACAAAACAAAAACTTCTGCTTATTCACTGTGCTATAGAAAGTTGGGTATTGAGAGGACTGTGCTCAAGACTCAATCAGCACAGCCTGTGTAAGCTGATTGCCTGAAGTTTTGTATAAAGAACCCAAAACAACCATTTTTTTCTATCTTTTATATGGGCATCTGCCACCCATCATCCACTTTATCCCCTCATTTCTGGCTCCCATTTCTTCATCCACTGGCCTTTTATAGACCTGTGGAGGCCACCTATAAAGATCTTGTTTTTTTTAGAATACTGCTCAGTTTCATGAACATCAGATGCAATACATCTTATATGTTTTGCTTCTAATCATAGTTGGGGACAGTAGTTTTCAATTTGTCTTGTCAAGTGTTTAATTGTTTCTAATAATAATAACTACCATTTATATAATGTTTTAAGGTTTGTAATGTGCTTTAACATACATTATTATTTCATTTGATCCTCACAATTACGCTAGGAGGCAGGTGCTATTACCATCCCCATTTTACAGTTAAGGAAATTGAGAGAATTCTGCCATGTAAATGCCTCTGTTTCATAAATCTACAGTAACTTGGCCCCAATTTCCAAAACAGCCAAAAGCAATCAATAAAATATCAACATACCCAATCTCTGGTCATAGGTTTCCAGCAAAGTGATCTTCTGCTTTATAGTATCAATTGTATTCATCAAAGGTCTTAGATCAAATTTGTTTTGCTGCTGGTTAGCCGCCTCTAGTAACTCCCTTACTTGTGTTTCCAACCAAGCAGATTTATCAATGTGACTGGCAAGAACCTTCAAGTGTAATAAGGTTCATAAAATTTGAAAGAGAGAGAGAAAAAAGAATTTCAGCCAATATTCCAGGTATATCCCATTTCCTTGGACAGGTTTTACTGCCATCATCTATATCCCACAAAAGTATCCTTTTCTACAAAATAGCTCACATTTATAGCATTTTATATGTGTAATATAGTTTGTTCTTTATATCAGTTCTGAGGGTTAGATAGATAATAGATAATTTGTAGAAGAGGAATTTCAGAAGCAAAGGTTAAATTGCTTTCCCATAGGATAAAGGCTAGTAAATGTTTTGAGCTTGAGCTCAAATCTAACACTATTTTCATTATACCATGCACCTTCTGTCTAGTAGATCAGCTAAATTCAGTTTTACAGGTAAACCATTTTCTTTAATCTTCAAAACTACTCAATGTCTTATCATTATCATGATAAATGAAACATTCATAATTCATTAATACTCATAATTTCCAAAGTAACCCTCCACCCTTCCCTCTCTCCCACCCCCACCCCATACTTCCATTCTATCCATTAACAGTGCTAACAATAGACAGAAACTAAGACAAATGGATCACAATATGTAGAGCTAAAAGATATTTTGGAGACAGGGGTGAGCTGGCTGTAGCATACCTCTGTCTCCAAGGTATCTTTCAGCTCTACAAATCATGATTTTTGTCTTGTTGATTTTCTAGATTTAAGAAAGTCTTAATGCTGATTAAACTTAAAGTACATGTGAATACTTTTTAAATATTTTCCATAAAGCCCTGTTGTTAAACATTTATTAGCACACCTCTCTATCTCTCTATAAACTTGCTTGAGTTCAGCAGGAGTGCAGTAGAAGACTCAGGGAATGAAGTCATCACCAGACTGGGGCTTGACGACTTATTAACTAATAATAACAACTTGTACTTATGTTAGACTTTAAGGTTTGCAAAGTGCTTCCCCTCTATTCACATCTCATTTAAGCCTCACGGTATCTCTGCTCTGAGATCATACAGTCCAAATTCCTTATTTTAACAGATGAAGAAACTAAAACCTAAGTGTGCCCTTTCCTGCCTAGTCAGGCATACCATCATCATCTATACCCCATGGAAGTAGGGCCCACGGTATCAATGGCTCTCAGATCTAGGGCTGGGGAGAAGAAAGAGAAGCTAAGAGAAATGTTCAATAATAAATTTGAAATATTAAGCAGAATGATGTCACTGAAAACTTAGAAACCTCAGAACTTTTTGCTGAAATCTCTAAGAAACAGGCAGATATCTTAGCCTGAGCTGGGGTAGGAGGAGAGGCATTGTCAAACACCTCTGAGTTGATGGTTTCTGCCTAGTGGTTGGACTACATTTAGACCTATATATAAACCAACTTCTGAAATGTTTTCATATATCATATACGTTATCATGATAAATTCACTATACATTGGGAGTTTATTAATAATTTACTGATATTTGTAAATTTCAATGTCATTTTAACTTTACTTTAGGGATTTTGGAAAGACTATAACATTTTCTTTCCAAAGGAATTAACTTTACTTTATGGACTGCACAACATAAAACTACATATCCTTGCAGTGACTCTGAGATCAAGAGAATATTAGTGGTCCAATAGATCATAATAGTTATTACCAAACTTTATATGCAAATGAGAGGAAAAAACTGATCTTGGATGGTTAGTATCTCACCTGGGTATTTGCCAGCAAGTTACCATTTTTGCCAAACAGTTGTACAAATTGCCTAAACTCCTTTTCAAATTTCTTCACAGTTTCACTTAACTGCTGAATTTTACTTTCCTTTAATTCTAAGTTCTTGTGCAAGTCATAAATCTAATAAAAGAAATTAGAATAGGAAAAAAAAGGAGGTCATTTAAAAATACATAATTAAGTTAAAATAAACAGTGTATAGCATTAGGGGGAAAAGGCAGTTTTGTAAAGTTCCTTAAAATTCTATAAGATCTCAAAAAAATTTTATCAGCTCTTTTTTTTTAATTTAACCAATGATATGGTAATATAGCACATCTCATAGCAATGACCATTAACCGAAAGAATTGTAAGACTGGTACTAACTTTATTTATTCATTCTGTATGTGTTCAGGGAATGACCACCATATAAAATTGCTACATGAGGTGCTACGTGGCATACAAAAGCACAAGACAGAGTCCTAGTTCTCAAGAATGTTTATAATCTAGATAGGCATGTAATAACAATAATGCCTTATGTTTGTGTAGCACATGTTACAAGCACATTCCAATAAATTTCATTTGATCTCCCCAACCTTGTGAAGTAGGCACAATATTATTTGTTACCTCCATTTTAGTGATAGAAAAAACTGAGGCTTAGAGATTAAATTATTTGTCGAAATGTATACAGGTAGTTGAGAATGAAGCTGGGTCTTGAAACCAGATTTTTAATTTGAAGTCCAGTGGTTTTTCCATTATACCATAAAGTACACAAAGCAATCAGAAAACAGTTACAAAGCAGCACATCTTATGCCATATTACCAGCAATTTGTTTTTAATCAGTTGCTCGCAGCCTGATTTCATTTAGGCCATATTTAATTTTGTGGAGATTTACATGCCTAGTTTGAGGCTGTATCAGATAGTAATACCAAACTTATACAAAGTGGAAAAATTCTGCACCATTCCTAGTGATACAGAACGGTGTTTTTGGAAGATGAAGCCCCATGGACCTGCACAGAACTAAACCTGGCTAATCATGTCATTCAACTGTTGACTTTTCAAAGGAAGAAACTAAAACCTAACAAAAACCCTGCAAATTTCATAGTTCCTTAGATGTCTTTGCTGGCAGTGTTAGTATTGGCTAGCATTTATATAGTGCCTTAAGGTTTGCAAAGCACTGTAAGTTCTTATTTGATTCTTAAAACATGACTATCAGATAAGTTCTATTTTTATTTCAGTTTTACAGATGGGGAAACTGAAGCTGAGAAGGAAAGTGATTTGCCCAAGGTTATACAGCTGTCTGAGTCAGGATTTAAAATTAGGTCTCCCTGACTTCTCCAGTGCTCTTACCCATTGCATTGCGCTCCCTTGCTATCTGTGCTGCTTCATAATATGTAAGGATGACATGACATAAAAGCATTTGTCTTTTTAAAGTATGAACAATTACTTCACAGAAAATCATCTGCTTCCAGTTAGCTAATATTGATGTACAGTAAAATACAAATATTTAGGGATTTTAAAAAAGGAAGGTAAATCCTATTTAGTTTTTAAAAATTATACTTTAAAGTTTACCTGTTCTTCTAATCTGCAGTTCTTTTCTAAAACCAGGAGCATGTGTTCTCTTAAAGCAGAATTCTCATGTTCCTTAAGATTTACCCTTTTGTCCTTAGTAGCAAAAATAAAAACACAAGCAGTCAAAAAGCATGCCTCAGAAATGGGAAAATAGGGACATTTTTTATTAAGGCTATCTTAATATCTTTGCACATTTTTCAAGAATTTGTATATTTACTTGCTTTAAATGCAGGGTTCCCTTCCAGTTCCAGAATTACATGACAAGAGGGGTGGAGCCAAGATGGCGGAGTGAAAGCAGTGACTTGCTTGAGCTCTCCTCCAAACCCCTCCAAATACTCATAAAAATGGCTCTAAACAAATTCTGAAGCAGCAGAACCCACAAAAAGACAGAGTGAAACAAATTTCCAGCCCAAGACAACCTGGATGATTGATCAGAAAGGTGTATTGTGCCGGGCTGGGAGTGCAGCTCAGCACAGCGTGGGCACGCAGGCTGCAGCAAACCTGGAGCAGGCCTCAGAGGACTGAACCGTGGGCAGCTGTGGAGATTTCCGGACTCCTCAATCCACCAATGGCAAAGACAACTTAGAAGGTCAGTGGGAAAAGTCTGTTTCTGTCGGTAGTCAGAGAGGAAGGCGGGGTTTCAGCTCCATTCCCCAAGAGCATGGCCCTGGAGGGGGGCAGCTGCTTCCCGAGCTTCTGGCCCACAGACTGAGGGGGAATCCAGTGGCTGATCAGAGAGGGACTGCAGGGATCTCTTTGCCAGTGCTGAGGCAGGAATCTCTTCCTTTGCCCCTGTTTGGATCTGGGTCACAGTTCTGGGCTGTGGTGCTAAGGGTAAGGAGGAACACTGGCGTGGTAGAACTTGGAGTGGCTGTGGAGAGGAACCCTTCCTCACAGTTACAGGACAGAAAGGAATACTTGTGGTCACAGGCCAGGAAAGGAGTAAACACCTCGCCCCTTATCATACCACCTTGGAAGAACTGAAAATTTACAGGTCCCTACAAGTATCTCTGAAAACAGCTACACAAACCCCTGAAGCTTGGGACAATACATTCTCCACATTGGAAGCAGACTCTTACCTTAACAAAGAGTTTAAAACTCAAGTAATTGGCTGGGATCATGAGCAAGCAGCGTAAAAAGAGTCAGACCATAGAATCTTACTTTGGTGAAAAAGAAGATCAAAATACACAACCAGAAGAAGACAACAAAGTCAAAGCTCCTACATCCAAAGCCTCCAAGAAAAATATGAATCAGTCCCAGGCCTTGGAAGAGCTCAAAAGGGATTTTGAGAAGCAAGTAAGGGAAGTAGAGGAAAAACAAGTGATGCAAGAAAATCACGAAAAACAAGTCAACAGCTTGCTAAAGGAGACCCAAAAAAATACTGAAGAAAATAACACCTTAAAAAATAGCCTAACCCAAATGGCAAAAGAGGTCCAAAAAGCCAATGAGGAGAAGAATGCCCTAAAAAGCAAAATTGGCCAAATGGAAAAGGAAGTCCAAAAGATTACTGAAGAAAATACTTCCTTAAAAATTAGAATAGAGCAATTGGAAGATAGTGACTTTATGAGAAATCATGACACAGTAGAACAAATCCAAAAGAATGAAAAATTAGAAAACATGTGAAATATCTCATTGGAAAAACAACTGACCTGGAAAATAGATCCAGGAGAGAGAATTTAAAAATTATTGGACTATCTGAAAGCCATGATCAAAAAAAGGCCTAGACATCATCTTTCAAGAAATTATCAAGGAAAACTGCCCTGATATATTAGAACCAGAGGGCAAAATAGAAATTGAAAGAATCCACAGATCTCCTCCTGAAAGAGATCCCCAAAGGAAAACTCCTAGGAATATTGTAGCCAAATTCCAGAGTTCCCAGGTCAAGGAGAAAATATTACAAGCTGCCAGAAGGAAACAGTTCAAGTACTGTGGAAACACAATCAGGATAACACAAGATTTAGCAGCTTCTACATTAAAGGACCGCAGGGCATGGAATATAATATTCCGGAGGGCAAAGGAGATAGGATTACAACCAAGAATCACCTACCCAGCAAAACTGAGTATAATCCTTCAGGGGAAAAAATGGTCATTCAGTGAAATAGAGGACTTTCAAGCATTCTTGATGAAAAGACCAGAGCTGAATAGAAAATTTGACTTTCAAATACAGGACTCAAGTGGAACATGAAGAGGTAAACAGGAAAGAGAAATCATAAGAGACTTATTAAGATTGAACTGTTTACATTCCTGCATGGAAAGATGATATTTATAACTCATGAGACCTTTGTCAGTATTAGGGTAGTTGGAGGAAAAAAATTAAATGTATGTATGTGTAGATAGATAGAGGGCACAGGGTGAGTTGAAGATTAAGGGTCATATCTGGAGAATAAAATTAAGGGATGAGAGAGGATTATACTCAGAGAAGAAGAAAGGGAGAGGTAGAATGGGGTAAATATCTCACAAAAAAAACAAAAGAAAAGTCTCTTACAGTGGAGGGGAAATGGGGGAAGGTGAGAGGAATGAGTGAATCTTATTCTCATAGGATTTGGCTTAAGGAGGGAATAACATACACATTCAATTGGGTATGGAAATCTGTCTTACCCTACAGGAAAATAGGGGGAGAAGGGGACAAAGAGCAGGGGATGATAGAGAGGAGGGCAGATTGGGAAAGGGGTAATCAGAAGCAAACACTTCTGAGGAGGGACAGGGTCAAAAGAAAGAACAGAATAAATGGGAGGGCAGGATAGGATTAAGGGAAATAGAGTTAGTTTTTCACAACATGTCTACTATGGATGTGTTTTGCATAACTGCACATGTACAACCTATATTGAGTTGCTTGCCTTTTCAATGAGGGTGGGTGGGGAGGGAGGAAGAGAGAAAATTTGAAACCTAAAATTTTAAAAACGTATGTTTAAAAAAAATGTTTTCACATGCTACTGGGAAACAAGAAATATAGGAAATGGGGTACAGAAGTCTATCCTGCCATACAGGAAAATAGAAGGGGATAAGAGAAGGGGAGAGAGATAGAAGAGAGGACAGACTAGGGGAAGGGATATTCAGAATGCATGCCATCTTGGGGTGGGAGGAGTGGGGAGATGGGGTATAAATTTGGAATTCAAAAACTTGTGGGAGTGAATGTTGAAAGCTAAAAATAAATTTATATTAAAAAATAAAGGGTTAAAGAAAGTAAAAAAAAACAGAATTACATGACAATCTAAAAAACAAATTCAAAACTTTCTGAAGAATGGGGAGCACTCTTTGGTACTTTAAGGAGGATGCAGCTGCTAGTCCTCCAGTGAATGATAAGGTGGGTCCACAAGTATTGTCAAATAGGATATTGTCCAAATGGGATCAGAGGAAAAAGAGTAGAGTCCTGGTGGTTTCATGACTTCCTGCTGAGGGAAACTGGAGCATGCATCTGTGGGTGTTGTAACAACAGAGATCATCTCAGGAATGGTCAAAAAAGATGACTGTTATTTACTTTTGGTAGCTTACATAACTACAAGTGTAGATGGAACCTAAAGTATTGCCAAAGATTATAAAATCTTGTTAAATACAGCAGCAACACTAGTAGTATTTTTAATCACTGCTGCTCACTGAAGGCAGGAGACACAAAAGAGAAGCAATGGGACATAAACAGCTGGTTAAGAAAATGGTGTCTGAAAATGTGATTTACATTTCTGGATTACAGCTGAAAACAGACACAATAGACAGATGCTACAATGTAGGAGGACAAATAGCTATTAAAATACCCAGACGTTCATAGAAAACAAAAAATAGAAAAGGAGTTGGGGTAAAATGAATGGCTTCAAATATCCATATATAGATGCATGCAGTGTAGGCAATAAGCAAGATGAACTATGGGTCCCAATGTAAAGAAGCATATTTGATCTCTTACTGCTACCAGTAAGATTTTGTGAGATGAGAAACATTATTGTAATGTAGATATGAATGGATACAGCATATTCAAAAGAAAAAAAATAGTTACTAGGTGATATCGGAAGCATCATTTACTAAGGAGGTAACTTGTAAAGTTACCAAGAGTCAGAGAGGCAAAGCATGGTGGAGATCATTTGGGTGAAGGTCACTGTAGACATATATAAAAGGAGTTTTATTATCTGAGTATATTATAGACCACATGGGCAGAAAGAGGAAGTAGGTAAGTTTAGCAAACAGATCACAAGCCTGGCACAGAGACAAGAAATAGTAATGATTGTTGTTCAGTTATTTCAGTCATGTCCAACTCTTCATGACACCTTATGGGGTTTTCTTGGCAAAGATACTAGAATAGTTTGCCATTTCCTTCTCCAGTGGGTTAAGGCAAACTGAAGTTAAATGACTTGGCCAGGGTCACACACCTAGTGAGTGTTTGAGGAGGAATTTGAACTCAGGTTTTCCTGACGCCAAGTCCATCCCTCTTAAAAACGGATTTGAGCTCAGGTCCTCTTGACTCCAGGCCCAGTGCTCTATCCCCTGAATCACCTAGCTCCCTCAATTATCCAGGTATCTGTTAAAGACTGGCACTTCTCTCTGTCCCAAACACAGTAGCCAATAGCTTCTTGACTCATCTTAATGAGGATCTTGTCCTTTAAAAGGCAGAGGAATTAACAAGGGGGAATGCCATTTCTATCTCTGATTCTCATCACCAGGATGGAAAGCAATCAGGTAGAGGGGGGAATGAATTTGTTCTTTTTGACTGCAGAAGACCAGAATAGGAGCAATGGGAGGAAGCTGTAAAGAAACAAATTTAGGCAGGTAAGGAAAAACTTCCTCCTATGTTAAGCTATCCAAAAGTTGGCTGTCTCAGTGGGAGTCTTCAAGCCAATGCCATGTGACCGCTTGTCAGACATGCTCTGTAGTAAGGACTCTTTTTAGTTTATAAATTGGACTAAATTAGAGTCTCTTATAACTTTGAAACTCTGTGAATTTACCATAATATGTGACAATCTCAAAAGACAAAAGTAAGTTCTCCAAAGGGGAAGATAAAAAGATCTGATCATTAAATGGCATGGCTAACTAAGGATTCTCTTCCTTTTCCTTGAGGTCACATGCCTTTGGTACAACATATAGCTGCACTCAATTCTCTATTATCTCCAAAAATTTCTTATCTATGTAGTGGATGAGATCCATCAAATTTGTAGTACCAAGAGCCTGGACACTCTTCTTTCATTAGCTAGCTAATGTGTGCACAAAGAGTACACCTTAATTTAATTTTCAGCTCAAGTTAACTGCACACAAAAAAACCACAATATATTTCCAATCCAAAGGGAATGATTTGTAGTTTCTCTTTGTGATTACTGCTTCTAATTAGAATACATAAAAAACCAAACATAATATTTATACTCAAACTTGAAATAAATCAGCCATTCTCTTTTAGAGCTGACATTTTGAACAGCAGGCTCTATCAAAAAGGGATCTCTGAAATTGTTTTCTGTACCTGACCCCTACCCTAACATGTCATCACAACCAGGGACAATTTTTTAAAGCAGTAGGCACTGATAGCTAAGGCTTCCACTTACCACATTTCAATGGTTCTTGATGTTTTGGATGATTTGACTTTTTTTTTTTGCGCTTAATAGTATTTTATTTTTTTCCAATTACATGTAAAGATAATTTTAAACATTCATTTTTGTAAGATTTTGAGTTCCAAATGTTCCTCCCTCCCCAAGACAGCAAGCAATCTGATATAGGTTACACATATACAATCATGTTAAACATATTTCTACATTAGTCATGTTGTGAAAGAAGAATCAGAACAAAAGGGGAAAACCACAAAAAACAATAACAAAGTGAAAACAGTATGCTTTGATCTGCATTCAGACTCCACAGTTCCTTCTCTGGATGTGGATAGCATTTTCCATCATAAAGCTTTTGGAATTATCTTGGATCATTGTATTGCTGAGCTAAGTCTACCATAACTGATCATCACACAATGTTGCTGTTACTATGTATGATGTTCTCCTGGTTCTACTCACTTCACTCAGAATCAGTTCATGTAAGTCTTTCCAGGTTTTTCTGAAATCTGGCTGCTCATCATTTCTTATAGAAAAACCAGTACTCCATCACAACCATATACCACAACTTGTTCAGCTATTCCCCAATTGATGGGCATCTCCTCAATTTCCAATTCTTGGCCACCACAAAGAGAGCTGCTATAAATATTTTTGTGCATGTGGGTCCTTTTCCCTTTTTTATGAGCTCTTTGGGATATAAACATAGTAGCGGTATTGCTGGATCAAAGGGTATGCACAGCTTTATAGCCCTTTGGGGGATTATTTGACATCTTATTATTGTTTATTTGATATTGTAATAGAAATTATTTCAGGAAAATTTATATTGTACACATGGGAATCAATTCATTGTAAGAAACTCAAGAAATTTCAGAAACACTGGAAGAACTGGAATCAAAACTGTGAATGACTATCATTGCTATATTCCCAGAACTTTAAGAGATTATTCTGGACCTTAAAGGGAAACCTCAGTTTTTAGGCTGCATACAAAAATACCATCAAGGACTGTGAAATAAATTGCACAGTAGTGGAGGGGGGCAGGGAGGGCCAAATTAAAAAACATTTATTTCCATACCTTTACAGGACAGCCATAATGCTTATAGGGGCATTCTTGTTCCACCTCAGGACACACAGTAATATGCTCATCAACCTGTGAATATGAACAGTCCCAAGCTGATTCAACATTACTGATTCAACTATAATCAGTCAGTCAATCAACAAGCATTTATTAAGTTACTATGTGTCAAGCTCTGTGGTCCCTGCTAGAAATACAAAGAAAAGCAAAACCAGTCCTTGCTCTCAAAAAGCTTTCATTCTAGTAAGGAAGACAAGATGAAAATAAAATATATATAGTAGCACACATTCACAGCTAATTATTTCTATTCAACAAACAGAAAGAAAGATACAACATAAACACAGATAGGTAAATATAAATTGAATCAAGGGGGCCTAAACTACTAACAACTAGGGTGGTATCTAATTGTCACCTGGCCCGTACTAGCTAATAGAAACTACATGAGCGTCTTCTCAATGCCATTATGAGTAGAGCTTTAGAGAGTGGCCATACCCATAACAAAATACAGTATATGTTAAGTGCCCTTTGGGTGGCACAGATATTAACTATCATAGGAGTCCCAAGGAGATCACTTTGTGATGTGGGAGAGTTTAATGGTGTATGTAAAATTTGAATTAGGTCCTGAATGAGGGGCTGAATTTTGGTCAGCAATGAGGAAAGGAGGGTGCAGTATGGTGATGGAGATAAATGCATCAATCAATCAATCAGTTAAGCATTAAGCGCCATGCCCTCGGGTGGGTAACGAAATCATTCCAGGTAAGGGAAATGTCATGAACAAATGTCCAGAAGTGAGAAAATTCAAGGACTTAAGGGAATGGACACAGTTGCAGGATACATTTAGTTGAAGCACAGGGTTTCTGAGACTCATCTTTTTGATATAAGTATTCTTCTAGCAATGTTTTATGGCCACGAATCATGGCATACCACAGGGTCAGCAGAACCAAGGCTGCTGGCCACCCAAAGAGCAATGGAGAAATGCATGACGGGGTGAAAAGGCTGCAACATATGAAGAACTAACTCCGCCAGACAATCAATATAAAGGATGTCATCAAAGAGGTGTACAGCAGATAAGCAGGCGAGCCTGTTATGTAGTGATAGCAAGGGATAACCAACAGACAGGCTGTGTGCCTAACAGGCTCTTCCATGCAACGTCAAGAGGTACTGAAGAAGGCTCTTTCACAATGAGTTTAATACCATGGAATATTCATGGGAGTACAATGGAGAAAGTACCCATCACACTGATGAGATCACACATTCATAAAAATAAGGAAGTAGATGCCCTTATTATATAAAGGCTAGAGAGGCAAAGATTGGGCTGGGTAGGGGAAAAAGAAGAGACAGATGTTTGGATGAGTGACAGGAGGAAAAAACTGATGCTTAGGTTTGCAAGGGTAAGGCTATGATGGAAAAAAAAAAGAGAACATTTGGGACTACAGCAGGGAGGAAAATCACAGAGAAGCAGGCAGACAGGTCCTAGCGATAACCTTAGATCTCTAGTATTATCAATTCTACAGTACTGAAAACCACTAAAAATGTTTAGTAATTCTACTCAAACTGCTTATTTACAGTACCTTAGTTCTGGGAATAATTTGTAAACAGTTATTGGGACAAGATACAGGGTAGTCAGGGCAAAATTTTTCCTTGTGATTCTGAAAAACAGAATAGATGATGAAAAGAAAACAAAATACATAAGGTCTGTCTTTTCTTTTCAGCAGGGTTTAGAAAGAGAGGTCTCACTGTGTGTGTTTATAAATATCTTTTTTTTTTAATAGTGGAAACTCTTGAAAACCAGAGAGGATATGCTGTGGTCCCTTCTGAACAGTGGTCTTAAATAACAATTAATAATCAATATAATATTTTATACTTTTTCTAAACCTTAAACCAACATTGATCCAAAACAATCTGATGAGACAGGAAAAGGAATGCTTCCAAATATTCTGTCATTTTAAAATCGGAATTATTGGCTCAGTGGTGGATGACACAAGGCCACAAGGGTTATCTGACTTAGGAGATGGTTAGGTCAGGGTTCCCTATTTGGGAGATGATATAGTTCTCAAACACATTAGTGGCTGATGTAGTGACACAGAGGAACACATCAATGATGATGTTTTTGAGAGCTAATCTGAAAAAAGACCCACTTTTATGGCTATTTGTTAGCTGAAACCTTATACAGAGTATTCAAAAATTTTAACAGCCCATTGCTATTTGTGTCATATGCCTCTACTTCTTAAGTGAATTAGAGCTGAAATACATTTATCCAAAGAAGGAATATTCTTTTAGTAGCAGGAACAAACTGAGGAGTTTATATTAGATTATATTTGAAATCTCTTGATTCTGCAAATCAGCTGTATAACCCAAAGAGCAGTACTTTTTTAAAGCTAGAAGTTTAGGGTTTAGTAATGTGTTCTTTGTATAGTAACTGTTCTATTACAGTCATTCAAATTATTCAGACTTACCTGTAAACTGATTACCACTATATCCTTTTTGCAATATGGGCACGTTTCCTCTCGAAACTGACAATGTAAGCCCAAATGGTCTTTCAAATCTTTTCGAAGGACTCTTTCCTGACAGCACTCATTAGAACACTGCACAGGCTGGAATAAACACTGTAGAAGGTGATCCTAAAACACATATTAATATGACTGTATTCTCAATTAATTAACATTGGTATAGAGAGAAGATGCACAGTGATCACCCCAGTGGGGAAAGGGAAAAAGAACAGTATTTAAACACCTACGATGTGCTAGCCACTGTGCTAAGCACTGCACCAATATTATCTCATTTTATCCTCACGACAACTCTATGAAGAAGGTGCTATTTTTATCTCCATTTTACAGTTGAGGAAATTGAGACAGGTTAAAATGACTTGCCTGAGATCACACAGCTAGTGTTTGACTCTGGATTTGAACTCAGTTCTTTTTTACTCCAGGCCCAGTCCTCTATCCATTGTGCTACCTAGCTGCCTCCAGTTCTACAGAAGGGAACTACAGAAGATATATGAGAAATATTAACAATGTGATGAATTCAGTATGTGCTGCCACTGTATTTGGTCCTGTTGCCTTCTGATTTTACCATTTTAAAGCTGTAAGTTGTTTCCGCTAAGAAGGTAAGCAGTGGGAAGTAGAAAGAGGAACTACTTTGACTAGGGAGTGTAGAAACTGCCTTTGTTTTGGAGATGCAGAAGATTGGGAAAGAAGAGGCAAGTAGAGACATATAGTTTGTATTCAATTATATTTCAATTAAATTCAAGCATTTATTGATCATCTGCTATGTGCTAGCTACTAGGGAAGGGGATATTTTTCATAATTAACTATAGGGGAAGACTTCTTGACCAAATAAGGGATAGAGATAATCAAAGAAGATAAAATGGACAATTCTTATCATATCAGATTTTAAAAGTGTTTGTTGTTGTTCAGTTGTTTCTGACTCTTCATGACCCTATTTAGGTTTTCCTGGCAAAGATACTGAAGTGGTTTGCCATTTCCTTCTACAGCTCATTTTACAGATGAGGAAATTGAGGCAAACAGAAAATAAAAGACTTGCCTAGAGTCATATAGCTAATAAGTATCTGAGGGTGGATTTGAACTCAGGAAGATGAGCAGTCCTGACTCCTGGCCCAACACTCTATCCACTATGCCACCTAGCTGCCCTGAAAAGTTTTTGTACATACACAAAAAAATGCAATTAAAGTTAGAAAGGAAAACAGGGAACTGATTTAAAAATTTAAGAACAAGGGCCATTCCCCAATAAGTAAATGAGCAAAGTATATGGACATGTAGTTCTCAAAAGAAGAAAAGCAAACTATTGCCAACCATATGAAAAATGTCTCAAATCACTAATAAGAGAAATGCAAATTAAAACAACTCTAAGCTTCTACCCTACATCCCTCAGATTGGCAAAGATAACAAAAAAGGAAAACGATAATTGTGAGAGGACAAACTCAGTATCGCACTGTTGGTGTAGCTATGAACCAGCTATTCTGAAAAGTATTTTAGAACTATACTCAAAAAACATTAAACCACATGCTCTTTAATCCAGTAATACCACTGCTAGGCCTATACTTCCAAAGAGATCAGAGGAAAAAGGAAAGGACCCTTATGTTAAAAAAAAAATGTAGAGCAGCACTTTTTTGTTTTTAGCAAAGAACTGGAAACAAAGGGAGAACCTATTAATTGGGGAACCTTATTGCACCCTTAGAAATGACCAACGATAAATTTAGATAAACCTAGGAAGACTTGTTGGAAATAACAGTAAAGTGAACAGCACCTACCACACTGTAAAGAAAAATAATTTGAAAAATGTAACTAATCGATGCAATGATCAGCCACAACTACAGATGACCCAAAAGCACACTTTCCTCCTTTTGGCAGAGAGGTGGTAGACTGCAGGTACAGAATGAGACAGATTTTCAGACATAGCCAATAAGCACACATATTCATTTTTTGTTATAATTTATTATAAGAGATGGACCCCCCCCTTTTTTGTGGGTAAGGAGAAATGGGAAGGAAATGAGAGTGATGCCAAAGAAAAGAAAAGAACATCGATGAAACATTTTTTTAAAGTACAGAAGAGAACAAAAGGAAATTCAGAGGGGGATACAAGCAGAGTGGCTTTGGAAACAATGTGTTGAACTTGCTATATGCTTTTTAAAAAATCAATGATATATAACAAAGATTTGCAGTTACATATAAAAATATTTCAAAGGGAGAAAAGTGAGATCTTCCTTGATGATGAACTGGGAAAGCTGGGAAGAGTGACAGGAGGTTGGGATGAGGACAAAGAATAGATGTGGGACTAGTAAAATATAAAAACCGGACATTGTGACCAGATAGGAAAATTTCAAGAGTTCTGTATCATGGAGACGGAAACTTGTGGGTGAATATGAGATCAAGAGTGGGATATACCATCCCACGTGTGCAGCTTGTTTTTATTCTATATTCTCTGTCTCCACCCCCACCTCTGATAATAAACTAGGTCTTTTATTGATTTTTATCCCACAGAGCACAGGTGTATGCAAAATAGATCCTCAAAAAATTCAGTCAGATAAGAAGGGGAATAGAGAAGAAGAAAAGGCAAGAAGCTCCTGTTATACTAAAGTCAATTAAATTGACAAAGGAACAACTTTTTATCATGGGCTCAGGATTACTTAGTTATGGTCTTGTAAGTTAAATAAGGACTGGGTCATGGTTTGGTGGATAATGACATGGTTATCACTGCCTTTATTTAACTTACAGGGCCATAACTAGGTAATCCTGAGCCTGTGATAAAACTTCACTCCTTTGTCAATGTTGTATCTCATTACAGCAAATGGCTTGCTTCCTTTTTCTTTAACGGATCTTGCTGGGAGATGCATTCATTGGGACAATAATAACTTGTAATTGCCGTCATATCTAGATTAGTTCAGAAGTTTTTAAAAATGAGAAATATCTAATTTTATTAACTTATACTGTGGATAGTTCTTACTAATGAAGTGACAAGGCAGCTAGGTAGCATAGTGCATGGCGTGCCAGGCCCAAAGTCAGGAAAATTCATTTTCCCGAGTTCAAATCTGGCTTTAAACACTTATTTGCTGTGTGACCCTGGCGAAGTCACTTAACCCTGTTTGCCTCAGTTTCCTCATCTGTAAAACAAACTGGAGAAGGAAATAGCAAACCATTCCAGCATCTCTGCCAAGAAAACCCCAAATGCGGTCACCAAGGGTTGGATGATTTAAAAGAAGTGAACAATAACAGCAACAACAGAATTAAGAATGAATCTTGTGAATAAACGAAACATGTGAAAGACATGTTTTTGAAGAAAAGAAAAGTTTCAACAGCCTCCTGGCAGTTTGCCAAATGTTAGACACTAACATTCTTATTTACTCTGTGGATGTACTTGACATAGACCTGCCAAAATAAAACCATCACATCTTCAGCTTGAGGTTTCTATTTAACAGAATGTTTCTTTAGCTAAATGGAAAAGTGAAATTGAATGAAAGCTTGAAGCGAAACCTTTGAAGAGAAACTCACTGTGGCTCCCTCTTTACTAAGCAACCCCCCTCCCCCTACACACACACTGAATGCATCGTTTCCTCCATTTGTACTTTATGCAAATCTTTCTCTTACAATGGCCTTTCTTTCATGAACATACCAACTCTCTCTGGCTAAGTGAATATTATCTCCAGCTATAAACTCATAGAAAGAACAATGACTATTGTAGAACATCTGTTACGGTGCTGTGTGCCCAGAATGTTTTTAATGATGGAACCTTAATGTGAGTTAAACGTAGATTATCTCAGACCCACCTGGAATCGCCCCAGAATCATCTTGGCAGCACAATGGGGAGCGTTTTTGCAAAAGACCTGTAAATTGAGGACTTCTCGTTTGCAGCAATTATCTTTAAACACCTGAAAGAAAAGCACTATCAGTCACACATACATATGTCAAGGCTAACGAAGACAACAATCTGACCATCAGACACACTTCAAAGGTGGGGAGGTATCAGCTAAATCTATAGATGGAATTCCGGACAGAGGCTTGAAAACAGGAAACATTCTTCTTTCCTTGAAAGGAAAAAAATCGGACTCACCACAAAACTGAAAAAAGTCTGTTGCAGACATATAACTCTGATGGAGCATTTCCAGCAGAAGTTGGGTAACCCTATGCCCAGATCTGTTGCATGAGGAGTCTACTTGTGAACTTGACCTCAAACTCTCCGAGGAGGTGGGGCTGTGGGCGAGGCGATACTTCCGGCCTTAGAGGAGACAATTACCTCACTCACAAATGTTAGCATTTACTAGTGCTTAGTTACCGGCTTAGGGCAACCTCAAAACTTCAGGAAGCTATTTTTGTAGGACAAGGTTAGCGTGTCGTTTAACTCTCCTTTCTGCCAATCCAAATTCACTCCTCCATTCAATACTTTACTCAGCTTCTGGGAGTTCTCCCAGATTAACAACTCTGCCACAACGTCCCCTCAGAATTCAGGTACTTAGCTTAAACCAGGGGTGGGGAACCTGTGGTCCTCTAGGTCCTCAAGTTGTTTTTCAGTATCCTTCCATGAGACTTAAACCACAGGGGCATGCTGACCATATTTCTTTCCTGCCTCCACACAAAGTTCAGTACAAAGATTCTTGAACTTCACAAAGACCAGCCTCTCTACATATTTCTAGTCTTTTGAGAACTTTTTCAGAACAAAGTGTGAAACCCCTTTCAGCTCTGATCTTCCCACTTTCCCCAAACAACACATATGCCCCACTAGGTGCTCTAACTCCTCCTAAAAAGAGTTTAGTATACTACGTTGCCTATGCTTCCCAGTAGCAGCTTTTATACAACTGGGAAAAAGAGAGCTATGGTTAAAGGCTTGCAAGGGTCACTAAAAAACACTGAGAAACACTGATCTCAGCCAAATGCAGACCCAACAGAAGGTAAAATAAAATTTCAGAATTTATAAACCAAATCATACCTGCAAAATTACCTGAATTTGGAATAAAGTCAACTCAATTACCGTACATAGGAATGAGTGCCAATTGTTTGAAAATCTCATACTATAGAGGAATCTGGAAATCATTACTTATTCATTTATGAACACATAGATTTACACAAACACATACATAAGCACACACCCATATCTTGCCCAGCATAGCATAATATAAAGGTTAATAGAGCAAGACTAAGAAAAGTGATTTCTAGGTCCAGGTCTACCATATTCAGTGGCTGGGGGTCTTTGGGCCAGTCACTTAGACCCTAGGATCTATAAAAATGAAGGAGTTGGATAAAATGAGTCCCTAAGATAATACCTAGCTCTAAAATTTGGTAGAGATTCCTTAATTCTATGCTCTATGAGTTCCCCCTAGATTGTGTTACCTATATTCCTAAATGTTACTGTTATTCTACTGACCAACAAGGAAAGTCACTTTCAGTCTGATGAGAAGAGGAAAGAAGGTCCTGGAACCTAGATGGGTACTTATTGAGGAATACAATCACAAATTATATTGTGTTAGGATTGTGAGAGTCATCTTAATTGACTCCCTTATTTTTACAGAAAAGGACACTGAGACCCAATGAGGCGAACTGTTCTGCTCAAGGTTATATGGGCAATAAATGGCTGACTCAAACCCAAGCCTTTTGACTCCAAATAACACCATCAATAAAACAAAATAAGGATAATTATACTGCAATGCCACGACTCCACTGTATTGGGGTGAGGGGCATGGAGTGGGTAGGAGAGGTATTTTGACTATATTGCATTCCTCTATCTAGCTTTGACAGCAATAGCAGAATTTCCATCTCCAAGAAATAACAGTAATGACACTGTATACATGTGGGGGGGGGAGAAAAGTGAGAGAAGGGCATCAAATGAGTATGAGACAGTTTAGTACGTTCAATGAATTGCAATACATCTTGGTGCTCTGACCTGTTAAGAGTTGAGGGACCTGAGTCACTTAAAAGACTTTAAGAACAGAAAATTCAACAGAGCCTTGGGCACTAGGAAGGTCTTCATCTCTCAACTTTCTGTCCCAAGCTATAAACCACACAACCTTAGGAGACACATTGGCTAATTTTTGCATAACCCCCAAATAAAACTGAGACTGACAATCAATCAATAAACATTAAGTGCCTGCTATGTGCCAGGCACTATGCTAATTGCTGACCTGCTTACCTCCTGGGGTTTGATAATCTCCTTGTCTACAGGACAGATGGACACTGCATTTAATTCTCTAGAATAAAAAAAAAAAGCTAATATTTACCTTCCTAACAGGTAAATATCCCAAACATCACATATAAGCATCGTCCTGAAACACCCCACTTCTAGCCCTGAAGAGTGTAACAATTTGGTCCCCCAGAGTCCAAAAAGAGAGGAAATCTCCCAAAATGCTGTGATCCAGTCCAAGAAGAGAATTGGTAACCTGAAGCTAACAGCTTCTTTGCTTACAAAAGCTAATTCAGGTTACAAGCCATACTTATCATAGTTTTGTACTTTGAGTACAGAAAAGAGAATTTTGGGAAGCAAGTGCTTTTGTCCCTTAATATACTCCATTCCTAACCAACCCTCCATATGAATTTGCACTCTGTATACTAAAGGTGAAACTCTGTATTTTAAGAAACATAAAATACATGCAAATCCACTCATAAATATAATAAGTACTTAGGTCCCCACAGAAGTGCCCCAAAGAAGTATCCTGGAAAAGTCCCCCCTTTTGTTTCAGAAAATGCTGAATGCTAGTGATTATCTATGGATGATGTCTGGGTGCAACAAACATCTTCCTGATTTTATCTTGTCCTTGATTTACTCAACTCAGGTCACAGACCTTCTCCCTACCTCAAGGATAGGATACAGTTCTCACAGAATCGATGTCCACAGCCAGTCTGATGCGGGTTGTGAAGAACAGAATGGCATGATGCACATTTATAACGTTCTTCTAATTGTTCTACAAATTGGTATTCCATGTTGGGTTCAAAGTCCAAGGATATGTAGTTACTGGAATTCTGGGGAATGAAGTTGCTGGAGGCACTCCCCTGTTCTTCAGAGGTTGAGGATGCCATGCTGTGGGAGGGAAAATGCCTACATATTAACACCAAAAGAAATCAAGTCATTTTTTATTTATAATGATTTATTTATCCTTTCTCATTACAGTCTCTTTGTACATCAAACTGTTTGAAAATCAAGAGACTAGGGAGTACTAACAGCCTTAATGAGGTCAGCAGACATTACTTAAATAAATGAACCATGAGATAAAGACTAGAATTATCACCTCCAGCTGCAGGAAACATGGTAGGTCACACTTGGAGGAGCACTGTCACTGGCCACGTGCAGGGCCCTTTTCCTCAGCTACTACATCTACATTGAACACCCCAACTTTAAAACACAGTCTATAAGAACACAGACAAGAGCTGAGCTTTCCAAGTTACCCACTTATTCTTCCTTAAAGAAATACAGCTTTAGGGGCAGCTAGATGGTGCAATGAATAGAGCTCTGCCTTGGAGTCAGGAGGACCTGAGTTCAAATCCAGCCTCAGACACTTAACACTTACTAGCTGTGTGACTATGGGCAAGTCACTTAACTCCAGTCGCCTCACCACAAAAAAAAAATGCAGCTTGGTGAGGAATCACTAGCCCAAAGTGAATATTAAAAAGGTGTGGACCATCTGACCAATGCTTCTGCTTCCTGTAGGTAGGCACAGCAGTTATTACAATATGTTGAATATTTTATTTTTCGCCAGTTACATGTAAGAACAATTCTTAACATTTGTTTTTTTAAAACTTTTGAGTTCCAAATTCTCTCCCTTCTTTCCTCCCTACCCCCCCCATTAGAAGACAAACAATTCAATATAAGCCATACATGTGTAGTCATGTTGTGAAACCAAATAAATAAAACCTCAAGAAAAATAAAGTAAAAAAGCATGCTTCAATCTGTATTCAGACACCATCAGTTCTTTCTCTGGGGATGGACGGCATTTTTCATCATAGGTCCTTCAGAATTGTCTTGGATTACTGTATTGCTGAACACAGCCAAGTCATTCACAGCTGATCATCTTATAATATTTCTGTTACTCTGTACATAGTAAATTTCACTTTGTATCAGCTCTCACAAGCCTTTCCAGGTTTCTCTGAGAGCATCCTGCTCATCATTTCCCATAGCACAATAGTATTCCATCATAATCACATGCCACAAATTGTTCAACTAATCCCCAATTGATGGGCATCCCCTCAATTTCCAATTCTTTGCCACCAGAAAAGAGCTGCTATAAATATTTTTATACAAATATATCTTTTTCCTTTTTGCAATTATTACAAGTTTTACAGCAAAGTCTTCTACCACCAATGTTCCAGATGCTTCTGACTAAGCTACCAACAACGCCAGAGAATTGTTAAATCTGCAAAGTTTGGTTGAAGATGATGTGGAATGAGAAGCATGTTAACGTAATCAAATCTTAATAATTTTTTTAAAATTCATAGCTCTGAAGATGAATGGTGGCGGTGGGGGTGGAGTGGGAAGATGGAAAAACATACTAGGTGTGGACTATTACAGTAAAATCTAGCAAACTTAATTTTAATTTTGCATAGGTTGATTTGCTTTGATTTTATTTATTTGTCCTAGTGAAAAGGGTATTTTAATTAATTTTTTAGATTTTTCAATGGGCTATATGAATTATTTCAATATCACTCATTTTTATTACTAAAATATGTGGTTCTAATTACATAGAACATGACACTGTTACATGTTAAAATACTCAGTGTTCTTTTTTGAAAAACAAAAGCAATAAAATTAATTCTATGCATTACGTATTTTTTTTTTAAAGAAATATCACCGGAGCTGGTTATTGGCTATCACCAGAAATATATAATAATAACTAGCAGTTACATAGTACTTTGCATTTCATTTTATCCTTACAACAACTCTGTGAGGTAGGTGCTATTTTTGTCCCAAATTTACAGATGAGGAAACTGAGGCTGGAAGATTAAATGAGTTGCCCAAAATCACACAGCTAATAAATGACTGAGGGCAGGATTTGAACTCAGGTCTTCCTCACTTCAAGTCCAGCATGTAAATAGGCAGACTTAATGTAAAACATAGTATCTCATCATATTCTATCAAAGAAATAATCAAATGTTTTGTAAGGGAGTGATTTATAGAAATGGATCATATCTGTACATTGGCATGATGCTTTTATTCTGTCATCTAGGATTCTAATTGGTTTTGTTGTTGTTCAGTTGTTCAGGTGTGTCTGATGACTCTTTGTGACCCCACGGACATAGCATGCCGGGCCCTGCTATCCTCCACTACCCCTCAAAGTCTGTCCAAGGTCATGTTCATTGTTTCCAATATGCCATTTATCTCATTCTCTGCCACACCGTTCTTCTTCTGCTTTCAATTTTCCCTAACATCAAAGTCTTTTCCAATGAGTCTCATCTTCTCATTTTGTGGCCAAAGTATTTAAGCTTCAGCTTTAGTTATTTGACCTTTCAGTAAAGAGACTGAATTTCTTTAAGTATTGACTACTTTGATCTCTTTGTTGTCCAAGGGATTCTCAAAAGTTCTCCAGTACCATAATTCAAAAGTGTTGATTCTGTAGTGCTCAGCTTTCCTTATAGTTCAACTCTCACAGGGGGCAGCTAGGTGGCGCAGTGGATAGAGCACTGGCCCTGAAGTCAGGAAGACCTGAATTCAAATTCGGCCTCAGACCAAACACTTGACACATACTAGTTGTGTGACCCTGGGCAATTAACTTAACCCCAACTGCCTAAAAAAAATGCTAATTAAACTCTCACAGCCACACATCATTTCTGGAAAAACCATAGTTTTGACTATATGGACCTTTGTCAGCAAGATGACATTTCTGCTTTTTAGTATGATATCCAGATTTGCCATAGCTTTCCTTCCAAGAAGCATCTTTTAATTTCATGGCTGCAGTGATCTTTGAGTCCCAAGAATATAAAATCTGACACTGCTTCCATTTCTTTTCCCTCTGCCAGGAAATGATGGGACCAGTTGCTAAGATCTTTGTTTTTTGATATTAAGCTTCAAGCCAGCTTTTACACTCTCCTTTTTCATCCTCATCATCTTAATTCTTCTTCACTTTCTGCCACCAGAATAGTATTATCTGCATATCTGAGACTGCCGATATTTCTCCTGATGACCTTAATTCCAGCTTTTGATTCATCCAGCCTGGCATTTTGCATGATAGATTCTGTGTAGAAGTTAAATCAATAAGGTGACAATATACAGCATTACCATACTCCTTTTCCTTCTTTAGCTAAAACCTATTAACTTTTTATCATCACAGTTGTGCAACTTGGCCATGTAATGCTTTAAAAAAAGCTTCCAGGAGCATAACTCATTTGAATAAATGTTGTAGGAGTATTCTCTTCCCTTGACCAGAATGTAAAATGTGAATTAAGGTGAGGGGAATCAGGGGTTCTACCTCTGCCTTTTCCTCACACACACATATATAACCCCCTCATACCCATAGTCCATTAACAGTTATGGTCATTAAAAATGCAAAGACATGTGCACATACAAGTATATACTGTCCACTCTTGATTATTCTTTCTAACCAAGAGGAATGGACACAAATAAAGTTGAAAATGTGAATAAATGAATGAAGCATTTATTAAGGTCTTAAATTTACAAGACACTATACTAAGCACTGGGGACAAATATGAAAAAGATGGTCTCTGCCCCCAAGGAGCTCACATTCTAATGACAGAGATAACACAAATGGAAGATTTCAGCTGCAAGTCAGATGACTTTTCCATCTGCCTCAGCTCAAATATCTCAATGACTCCCAATAATGTGCTAAGTGATCGTCAAGCATTCAAGAAACCTCCACAATCTGGGATCACCTTATTTTTTCACTCTTAGTCCCTTATACATATTTTTATTTTCCAGTGAAATGGACTGATTTCTGCCATGCCTCTGTGCCTCGGAGAGCAAAAAGAGTTTTGTAAAACTTAAAACACAACATTGAATTAGAGTCATGACTTGCTCATGCCATTCTCTAAGCCTGGAATGTCCTTTTTTCCCCCTATCTGTTGAAAAGTTCATTTCAAATACCACCACCTCAAAAGCCTTTCCTTGTCCATAGGTCAGTAACAATCTTCTTCAGACTGAGGTTTGAAAACAAACTGTACTTAGTTTTATGCCTCTCCAATGTATTTACTGGGTATTAGTGTGCATTATTCCTGTCTATTTATATGTCTTATCCCTGTGTACACTGTAAGCTCCATGAGGGTAGGGACCATATCTAATCAGTATCTGACGCAGTCTTGGCCTTTTCCTCCAAAGGAATATGGAAGGATATGTGTGTATATGTATGTATGTACATTTGTATATACATATGTGTATATGTGCATGCGTGTATATATATGTAAGTATATATGTATGTGTATGTATATGTTTGTATACACACATACACGTGTATGTATATATATCCAGTAGAAAGGGTCATGTTAGTCAATATGAATTTATTAAGCACCTACTATGTACAGGGATACAAAGAAAGATAAAAGACAGTCCCTTCATAGAGCTACCATGCCCCTTCAGTCTGCTCTTCTCCAGGTTAGATGCCTTTAGTTCCTTCAAATGATTCTCATATGGCCTGCTCTGGAGGCCTTTCATCATGCTGGTCACCAAACTCTGGGTACTTTAATTTGGCAATGTCCTTTCCTAAAATGTGACACCCAAAACAAAACACAATAGTACAAATGGACTATGCCTGGGCTAGGTTACAGTGGTACCATTACCTCTCTAGGTTCAAACACTATGTCTCTCTTAATGCAACATAAGATTATATTGGCATCTTTGGCTGCTAAATCAGTGTCCTGGAGAAAGGAGGGCTGTTTCCAAGTCCCAGCTGTCACTTTCTAGTTACAGTATCCAGGCAAGGCAGCTAAACTCCCTCTGAAAAATGAGAATAGAAACACATTCACTCCTTACCTTACAGAACTGTTGTGAGGGCAGCATTTTGTAAACCTTCAAGCACTTTATAATAGCAAGTTATTATTATTACTCTAGATCAGGGGTTCTTACCCTGGAATCTGTGA